AAAAAAAAAAAAAAAAAACCTCACGTAATTAAAATTTATGCCTGAATTGTATTCCTGCTTTCAACCCGTAAGCTTTTTCTTTAAGCTCAGATGCTACTGTATGTCTCTGCTTGTGCTGGAGAGGGTGCTAAACAAACCAAAGTTGACAATTTTGGTTTTGTATACCAAATTAAAGGCTGTCTTCGAAGCTGTCACTCCTATTCAAATCCACTCGGTGAACTACCAAATTAACATTCTTTCAGTAAAGGAATCTGCTTGTTTAAACATGTGTCTTTAGAAAACAAGGAACAACACCATGAATCAGTACTTCTCAAAAATCTCACTACAGTTCTAAAGGAACTCTTCTGAAAAGGTGATTAATAATATTCACTAGTATAACTGCCAGAGTCCCTATTTAGAAGGTAAGGATACACCAAAAATACATTTTCTATAGAGGAGTGGGAGGAAGAATCATATGGTTAACTGACTTTAATTTGGTTTGAATTATCATGCTATTATATAAAGAATATTCAGGAATCTAAACATTGGCTTTCTGGAAATAAGAGCAATTCTGTTAAATGATGAAAAAGCCAGCATTATAGTATAAGGCCATTAAAACCCCGTCCCTATTTGGACACCTTGATATAGTTTATTTATTCTGATTCCCCGTCTCACCCAAGCCCCAGTCAATTCCAACTCTAGTGACCTTTCTTGATGCATACTAACTGCATCTACAATAAGATATGCCAGTATACCATGTGTCATTGAGTCAATTCCGACCCATGGAACACGCTGTGTGTAAAAAGAGAACTGTGCTCCATAGGATTTTAGGTGGCTGGTTTTCTGGAAGTTAATAACAACTCCCATTTATTGAGGGAGCACAATGCAGTAGGCATTGGGATAGGTGCTGTATGTCACTTCTCATTGAATCTTTACAACGAGCCCTTTGTGATACTATTTTCTGATTTTACAGATGAAGAATTTATATCTGGAGGGTTATGTGACTTATATCTTGGTAAACAGTCAAGGTATTCAAAATTTATGATATTGCAAATTATTTAATTTATACTCTATGGTGTTGGAGGATAATACTGAAAGTGCCATGGGCTGCCAAAAGAACCAATAGATCTGTGTTGGAAGAAGTGCAGCCAGAGTGCTCCTTGGAGGCCAGGATGGCCAGACTTAGTTAGGTCTCTCATACTTCGGGCATATTGTCAGGAGGGACCAGTCACTGGGGAAGGATATCATGTTTGGTAAGGTGGAGGGTCAGAGAAAAAGAAGAAGAACACCCAGTGAGATGGATTGGCAAAGTGGCAGCATCAATGGGCTCAAGTGTGGCAACGATAGTGAGGTTGGCCTAGGTTCAGGCAGTGTTTCGTTCTGCTGTGCATAAGGTCACTATGAGTCAGTACTGACTCTACGGCACCTAACAATAACAAGGAGCTCTGGTAGCATAGTGGTTACAAATTGAGTTGCAAAACTTAAGGTCAGCAGTTCGAAACTACCAGCTGTTCCGTGGAAGAAAGATGAGGCTTTCTGCTCCTGTAAAGATTTACAGCCTCAGAAACCTTCTACAGGTTCGTTATGAGTCAGAACTGACTCCTCACAGCACATAACAACAACAACAACTGCAAGGAAGGCAGTTCAAACCCACCAGCCACTCTCAGAAACCCTATACAGGTTCACTATGATTTGGAACTGATTCAACAGCACTGCTGTGGAGTCTGTTTCAACTCATAATGACCCTACAGGACAGAGCAGAACTGCCCCATAGGGCTTTCAAAGCTGTAAATTTGTATGGAAGCAGACTGTGACACATCTCTCCTGCAGAGAAGGCTAGTAAGTTCAAACTTCCGGCTTTTTGGTTAGTAGCTCAATGCTTAACCACTGTACTATCAGGACTCTATGTTTAAATTCTGGGAGGGGGAGCACATTTGCATGACATTTGGAAGAACAAGAGAATACTTATATCTATATGATATAAGGCCTGGTGTGGCACTGTGGGTTAATGCACTGGACTGCAAAGTTGATTTGAACCACAAAGTAGGAAGTTCAAGTTCACCAGCTGCTCCTCGGTAACCCTATACAGGGTCGCTATGGGTAGGAACCATCTCAATGGCACTTCACAACAACAAATATGCTCATACATATTGTATTCTCTGATTTCAGATCAAAATGCTGCATCCCTTATTACAATCATTTTGCTGCTGTTGTTTGTCATCAAGTCGGTTCCAACTCTCAGCAATCCTGTACAGGGTTTCCAAGGAATATTCCACTGGTTTGAGCAGTTGACCTTGGGGCTAGGGGTCCCATGTTAGCCTACTGTGCGACACCAGAACTCCTATTGTAATCATGTTGTTGTTAAGTGCTATTGAGTCAGTTCCAACTCAAAGCGACCCTGTATAAAGTTTCCAAGGCACGACTGATGAGTTTGAACTGCCCACCTTGTGGTTCAAAGCGATCTTGCGGTCCTGTGCTTATCCTACAGTGCCATGCCAGGATTGTATTGTTACCATGTTGTTGTTGTTGTTAAGTGCTGTAGAGTTGGTTCTGGCTCATTGTGACCCAGTATAGGGTTTCCAAGGAGCAGCTAGTGAGTTTGAACTGCCGAACCTTATAGCTCAAACCTATCTTGAGATCTAGCACTTATTCTACAGCACCACACCAGGATTCATGGGGCTCCCTTTTTCTTAAACTGACCAACTGTTCATCAATTAAACTACCCAGAAAAAGGGAAACAAAACACCCAAAATTGACAAATGCTTCGAATGTGAATCATTTCAGGAATATCAGAAAGCAGCCGTTTCACTACCATCATTATGTAGTTCAATATTTTCCCAAGAAAACGTCTCATTTCTAATAAGATTACAGAGATATCCCCCCCTCCCCCTCCCCAGTATTATAAAGTCCGTGTCTGGTAAACTCTGAGAACTGATAATTTGGGGGAAAAAACCAGTATCTAAAAACTCAAGTATTGAAGTTATATTAAGATATTGCTTCATTTTCAAATAACAAGTTGTCAACTTCTCAAAGAGTATCTTCAAAGGAAACACATAAATAAAATAGGAAAATACCTCATATGCTGATCTTTGATACACATCTTCCCTCCTACAGAAGAACAGTTGATTCCACAATAATCTGCTATCCATAGGGCCTGTTTCTCCCCAGGGACAATGGGCAGTTTTGTTACCCTTCCATAAATCCACAATGGCCCCCTTTGAAACATGTGCCTCAGACACATGGAGAAACATTGGACACACACAAACCAAATGTTTGAGAAGAAAGAAACAGATAGATAAAAACCAGGGTAGAGTATAGGGAGGGCAGAGGACAGAAATAAGAACTAAAGAACAAAGGGAAGGGGGATAGCTGATTAGGAATTAAAGGCGATAAAACCAAAGGAGAATTTCACATAAAGTGGAGGAAGCGTCCCAAATCTTCATCTGTTTCACAGTCCTACTAATCCACATTGTGGTTTTATGCACGTGTACACCCACGTGGGAGTTTATAATTGTGTATGCACGCCATCCTTGCAGGCAGGACACACAATGCAGACACTTAGCTGCATCATCACATATGCGCATTTCTGCTAAAGTCTGCGCATTTCATGAAACACAGTATCTGCGAGTCCTGAGCCTGGAATACTGAAGAGCATACCTGTAATTTTGTCTCTCACGAGTTTGCAGGATTCTATTTCACCAATGCTTCCAAAGAGACTCCTGAATTCCTCTTGAGTCATATTTTGGGGTAAATAGTTGACTATGAGGTTGGTTTTGCTGTCATCTGTGGCCGCCCCTGTCTGCATGGGAGAAGGACAGTTTCTAGTGTTGCTGGAGGGTCCATTGCTTGTATTGGATGTCGGGCCATTTGACACCTGAGGCTCCATGGTGCTAATTATCTAAATAAAAATAAAAATAATACAAATAAGCCTATTGAAATCTCAAATATACAGCTAAATTTCCTTTTAATAATTGATTTTATTTTTGAAAGAAAAGAACAGGATAAAATCAAGATGGAGCGAAAGAGACTGGATTGCATAAGCAGCAAATTTAGAGGCATGTTTTTATCCAAAATGTTACACTCCCCTTGCTATTTTTAGGCCAGCCCATAGATTTTGAACACAGACTAGAATGCAGTGGGAACTCTCCCATTATTTTGTTAATGAAAAGCTAATTCCTGTTTTCATTACACAATCACTCTCAGAAATGTATACTTAAGCCACACCAAATTATAATTAAAATGTAAAGTAATAATCATGATTAAAATTATAGTTCCATTAAAGCTGAAAAAGCTAAATATAGAGGGCTACACTCACAAGATCAAATACAGTACCTGTTTATTAACTATCTCATAAAGTAAAATGACATTAAATTAAGTGGGGCTGTTCCATATGGGAAGGGCTTAGGTTTTCACTGATGCTTAATTCGCTGATCACACTTCAGATTTCATAAACACGTGCTGGGGAGCTGCAAAGTTCTAGCCAGTCACTCTGCTACTGTGCCTACTGGATTTCTAATAAAAAAAGCACAAAGGAAAGCTCTCTCTGGGTCTCTGCTTTAGGTCCAGCATAGCCTGAGGGGGATCTCTCAAACTTCATTCCAAAATAACTTTCTCTGGGTCTAAATGTTTACTTAAAAGTTTTCCCAGACTTGTACAATGTTCCAGGAAGCATGTACACATAAGATTTAGTCTATACCCTCAGGGAGCTGACAGTCTAGTCGGTGACACAGACATCGAAACAGTTCAGGGTAGAACAACAGATATGTAGTAGAGTAATTACCCCAATGTTTAGGTTATAGATGGAGTCCTGGTGTGGCGCTATGGATTAACGTGCTGGACTGCCAAGTTCACTTGCTCCTCTAAAACGCTATAGAGGGTCACTATGGGTCAGATCCAATTCCATGACACTTAATAACAATAACAACAATAGGTTATAGGAGTCTTGGTGTGGTGTTGTGGGTTAATGCCCTGGACTGCAAGGTCAGTTTGAACTTCAAGGTTAGAGGTTCAAGCTTACCAGCTGCTCCTCGGAAACCCAATAGAGGGCCACTGTGAGTCGGTACCAACTCAATGGCACTTAACAACAACAACATAGGTTATAGGGCTCCTGGTGTGACATTGTAGTGTCCGCACTGGACTGATAGCAGTTCAAATTCACTAGCCTCTCCTCAGAAACCCTATATGGGGTTGCTGTGAGTCAGAACCAACTCAAAGGCCTACAACAGCAGCATAGGTTACGGGATTCAGGAAAAGCATTGAGATGATAAGGCTAGAATAAAGTTCTCTGTGAATAATGGGCTTAAGCTCATGGAGCCAGGTCATGAAGAGGTCCTGCATGGGATGACAAGCATGGGCAATCAAAAAATTGCATATCCTGAAGGGCTATTCCAAAATGCATATCCAAAAGGCACTTAAGGGAATAAAATCTAGCTCAACACTCTCGTGTTTGAGATGAAATCACACATCTGATGACTTTTCTGTCATCTCAGAAGAGGGGGGCAGAACCTGTACTTTCACCTAGGTTTCTTGGTCCCAGATGCAGTCCATCAGTTTTGTTTTACAATTCTTGCCTATCACTGTCTGTTATCTATCCATCATGATATTGTTTCCATTTCTTCTAAATTTGGTCCATATTTCTGCAGCTCGATTGTCTGCTTATTGGATATGGAACCATGCTATCATTCACTAACTGTGTGCCAGGAACTTAAACTCCTACAGCCTCCATTTTCCTCAATTGAAAAACGGGACCATGTCACATGCCTTGCAAGGTACGCCGGTGAGAAGGACCCAATGAGATGACTTATAGAAAGCAATGGGACAGTGCTAGGAACAGGACCACAGCCATTCATGTTTACTGCTTACTCTTCCAATCATCTACTTCATGTGAATTTTCTCACAGACTCCACATAAGAAGGTGAGGAGATAAGATTCCAATATTCTATACATATTATAGATGAGGAAACTGAGGCTTAACAAGCATCTGATAACTTGTAGCTTCCATTATTGTTACCTTTTGGCTGCTCAGAGGTATTTGGGGATGGAGGTGGAAAACAATACTATTGCGTATATCGTACATGTAGTAAACTGTACAAATCTTAAGACCCGAACTCAATTTTCACAATGCGAACACAACCTGCACCTGTATAACCACATTTTAGATCATGATATAAAATATGACTAATACATCCCAGAAGCCATCTCACGCACATAACCCCAAAAGCAACAGATAAATGTATAGATAAGTTTTATCTGCGTTTGACTTCATATGCATATAATACAATACATACTCTTTTGACTTTTTCATACTTTATGTCTGGAGAATCATTCATGTTGTAACACGTAACAGTAGGTTGTTTCTCACTGTTGTACAGCATTCCATTGTATGAAAATATCACATGCATTCATCTATTCTAGTGCTGAAGGACGTTTGGCTTGTTTCTAGCTTTGAACTACTAGAAATAATGATACAGTGAACATTACGTGCATGTCTTCTGGTAAACATGTGGATACTTTTTTATTGTACATACTCCTAGAAGTATATTGTTGGGCCATAGGGCATATTAGGCTCAACAATATAGCTATTGCCAACATTTTCCAAAGTGGTTGTACCAACTATACTTCTACCCGCAGAGTATGAAAGTCCCAGTTGTTCAACGTCTTCATCAACATCCAGAGATTTGTTTGTTTACTTCTTCAGAGTGGTATAATAAAAAGGAAAGATATTTTGAGTCAAAGCAATAGCTGACTACCAGTTATTCTAGTTCTACCACCTATCAGCTATGTGATTTCAGGCAGGGTACTTCAATTCTTTGAGCCTCAGTTTCCTCTTCTGTAAAACGGGAACAAAATCTATGGTGCAGGGTAATCTTCAGTATTGCAGGCCATATCTAGTAAGCGCCTAGAACAGAAAGCACTAAAGGCATCATAACTATTATTCTGCATCCTGCCCCACAAGAGTGAGATCTTACTATGTTTCTTCTTCTGATCGTTACAAATGGGAAATGAAACCAAAAGGAAACAAAAGCGGAAGTTTCATGAGGATCCAGGGTGAAAATTCAAACTGAGGAAGCTGGGAAACTTCCAAGATTCTTTACCATCAGGTAAGTAACTTAAGTGGCTCCACTTATCACCTTCTTTGAATCTTCTTCTTGGTTTGAGGTCAACTGTGGGATTCTGGAAGGCTGGTTTAGACAGTAAGGAGTAAACAAAGACGCTCTTTAAAGAATCTTAAATCAAGTTTTCACACTGCACCCAGCAAAGCCAATTTGGTTGCTCTGTCCTTGAGATAAGAGTCTAGGGAAAGAACCATGAAGTGCCCAGGGGAAGGGGGACATGCTAATAGATAGGCTGTTGTAGAGTGTCAGCACAACTGCTGCCTGAGTCGCAGGTTTCTGCTCTGCCAAGCTGGTCGGCCACCTGGGTCTGTGTAGTTCCTCTATTTGCTGCATCATCTCACTGCTTCACTGAGTCACGCGCCCAGGTAACAAACGCATGGAGTATTGCCAAGTTGGACGAAACTTGGAAATCAGAATTGTCCAGTACAGGAGGCCTAACTAGCCAACCACAGGGCTTCCTAACTACTACATTTCCTTTTCATCACAGAAAAAAAAAAAAAAAAAAATCAGTCTTGTATCTACAGAACATCTTTCCTGCTCTCTGTCTTTCTCAGGCTGTCTCAGATACCCTTCTTAGGGCTTTAAACACCTAGAAAAAGTGAGGCAGGTTTTCTGGTGCTAATGATGGAATATGTAAAGGACTATAAGTCATACCTAAGAATGATGAAATTCTGTGGGACCAAGACTGCTCACTGTCACATCCAGTGAGCACCCTGACATCCAAGCTTCCTCTTTCATCCTTTCATGTTCACAGAATGCCAGCCTCGGAGACTATGCACTCGCCCATGTGAACAACTCAAAGGACTGCATGTATCAAGTTTGAAGTAATTTCAGTTTTCCAATCAGTTTTCTGGATAGTCTTACATCCTATATGGATTTTTAAATTTGTATTGACTCCTAGAGGTGAGCTTTATCTGTAGATCAGAAAAGTCTACTGGGTCAACTTTGAAAAGGAGCCATTCGATATAATACTTACTACTAAGCTACTTCAACTGACCAAACCTATAAATAAAGGCACATCATTTTCATCTGGTGGAGATTAAGTTCTCCTTGCTCTTCACATGTATCTACAGTAATCCTTTGGTGTACATATGTGCATACATAGAGCTTTCTCAATAAAACTGCAGTGTCTGAAAGCTGAGAAACATTTGAAGATGTGCTAATATCCATCGTTTAATAAGACTCCGTCACCAATCTTCATGATGCATCCCAGAATGTTAAGGCAGGCTTAAAAAAACAATCAGAAATTTAAAATGGCAGCATCCAATGACACACAAGTGAATCATGGAAAAATAAGAGAAGTTGCCAAGACGTAAAGATATTGAGCCCATGAATATGAAACTATAGTATGATCTGGCTTCAAAAAGTTCATGAAAACATTTTCCCACAAACGTTGAAGCCCTCTCATATTTTAATATCACATGATAGATCTTCAAAGAGAACACTTGTACATAACAGTGGAGGAGATGTTTGTTGGTGGGAAACATTCCCTAAGCATACAAGCTAGTTAGGCAAAATCAAAACACTTGTTTTCTCAGGCTAAGGTCTCTGATATTCTAACAGCACAATTTTTGTTGCAAATACATTTATCAGTTACCCAAGAGTGCATATATATTTTAATGAAACATTCTGTGTGGATCTTACAGCCAACTTTGCAGCTGACCATATTCCACACCTCTGACTTGTGTCCCCTTCTTGTCTGAATGGCAATTAAGAACCAAATTACAGTCAGCATACAGCAGAGAGCACTGAGGAGGTTCAGTTGACTTCAAAATCTAATGGT